TTTATTCTTGAAAAGATGGGTCTGAATTAAGCAGGATATAAAAAGTGTTTCTGTTGCTCATGAAAACGTTTCTGAAACGTCTGTGTATTTGACAAATATTGCATTTAATTCACTTCATCTGTGACAAGAGTATGCAAACACCGCGTGAATGTCACTAACGGGACCAGAATGTGCCCGGCTTGACGTGTCTGTTTTCAACTCCGCCCCCGACTGCAAGCGGCTACTCTCGTTGACTGCCGTCTGTAGCCGTGCTTCAAGTCGAACGCACCTAATATGAAATGCCTGAGCCAAAGTTCGTCATCAAAATGATTTGGAAGAAACACCTCCCATAACTGTCTCACATGATTGCATTACCAAACATCAGACATCTTAACACAAAATAACATGACTGTGTTTATTGCATTTCGTCTGCTCTCTGAGGAGCAAGTAATTTATTACATAAAAAAGACCCAAGGTGACTTCTCCTATTGCAGCAACTTCCATTTTTCTTAGTAATATTTGGTGCCAGGAAGTTACGTTTTTGTTCTCTTCAACTCACTGGATGGAAACGGTGCTTTATTGGCAAATGTTGTGATATACAAATTTTACGCATAAGTTAAATTCACAACTTTGGATGGAAACATAGCTAGTTGCCTCAGCATGAAATCTTAAACTTAACAAAACTTTTTTTGAGGCACAAAACCTCAAAACCTAACCTTCAGCCTTAGGGTGCTTTCACACCTGGCCTGTTGTTTCGGAACCTGGCGAGTTTCCTCCCTTATGCCGAGTTCACACTGCACGATTTTCAAACTCGTCGGATCGCCGTTGTTTTCACACTGCGTGACTATCTGGGGTAGCATTCAGTTGTTGCTGTGTTCACACTGCACGATGGATCAGCGACAGGGGGTTTCACATTGCATGACTTCACAATAGGAAGAATCGCCGACAGCTCTGTCTGGTCCGCAAACTACGTTCCACAACAAAACACACACGAGAAGTGATAAGGAAATAACGCGAGAGTCTTTGCCATTCAAAAATCAAAGCGCACTTTTTTATTTTATAATGCCGTCTTTTTGCTCTTCTTTGTAGTAGGTGCATTAAAAAAAAATTCCCAATCAATCCTGGACTCCTGCTCAAAATGATAAATTATTATAACAACAGCTACAAAAAAAACCAACAATAAGCCTGCAAAGCTGTTAAAAAGCTGTTGACTGTAATTTATATGCAAATGTCAAAAGCTAAAAGGGTCTTCTTAAACCATAAAACCCCAAAAATCATGCATGATCCTACGCAGACGCTACAAAAGCAATCGATCTACATGTGTGAAAGCACCCTAAGGCTACTGTAACCCTTAGGCTAAGGCTAAACAAACCTAAATCAATGCCAAAACCTAATTATAAGCCTAACTCACAGAAAAAAAACATAATTCTCACCCTCAGCCTCATGATGGTAATTTTAGTATGTTCTCATCTCAGATCAAATCTAACCTTTAGTCCAATGCAAAGCCTAAATATAATCTGCATCTTAATTTTAAGGATAAAATTAACTCTCAGCCTAATGCTAAAGCTAAAATAATCTTACCTTCAACCTAACTCTCAGCTCATCGTTAAGCCTAAACTTAACCATCAGCCAAACGCTAAGGCTCAACAAGGCCAATCCTCAGCCTAATGTTAAACTGAACACACAAGTCACGTCCTAATTCTATGCCAAAACCTAACCATCAACCTAATGCTAAGCTTAAATCTAAGAGTATACCCTCAGGCTAACGCTAAGGACAAACAAACCTAAACCTTACCTAATGCTAAAACAAAACCCAATTATCAGCCTAACACCAAGCTAAAATCTAACTTTAAGGCCTGGTTTCACAGACAGGGCTTAGGCAAAACCAAGATTAGGCCATAGTTCAGTTAGGACATGCAAGTAATTTTTTATAAACATGCCTTAGAGACTTACATTTTAGTCTGGGACTAGGCTTAAGCCTTGTCTGTGAAAACGGAGGCAAGTCTAATAAAAATCCTATATCTAACCTTCAGCTCAATTTTAAGGATAAAACTAACTGTGCCTAATGTTAAACCTCACCTTCAGCCTAACACAAAGCCCAAATTTATCAATTGGGTCAGTGCTAAGGCTAAACAAACCCAATCCTCAGCCAAACGCTAAGCCAAAACCTAACCATCGACCTATCGTAAACCTTAAACCTAAATCTAAGTGTAGACCAAAGCCTAAATCTAAGAACTAAAGCACTCTTGTGCAATTTCCAAGCAAATTCTGAATGTTGTCACACTCTATTGAACATATCAAACCACAAAAATGGCCAAATGGCATTAAAAACGGTTAAAAATAGACGTGTGAGAGAGAAAGTAAAACAAGAGTGCTGAAAGCTGTAAAAGCCTCAGTCGAAAGCTGAAACTGTAGCATCATAAATAAAGCATTCATTCGCTCTGACCCCTCATAACCGTCGCCTTCATATTCACAGTTTCCCTGTGTGGTGACACACACACACACACACAATTAAAAATATCATGCATAACAGCATGCAATGATAAACATTCACCTACAAAACAAAATCACAAATCCACACTCGACCTATTCAACCCCACACTTACCCAACATGTGAGATAAAAGTTTCAAGAGGGAAGCGAAAAAGGAAATGCTCTCAAGCAGGACAGTGGTGAGAAATCATGCTAATGTGCACTCTAATAAAACTGCAATCACTTTTAAATGATTTAGCATTGTGGAAAATATTCAGCATCTCATCAGCATCTGCTTATTAGTGTTAGTATGTCTACAAGAGATTGACACATTGGTGAAGATTGGCTCGGTCTCAAAGTGTTTCTGGAAATAAGAGGAAATTGTGAATACATATGAAAAAATATCTAATATTGGATTTATTACATTAACACGCATTTGTTATCACAAAGCTGTGATAACAGACTTGAAATAAACAAAAAGAGCTTGTAAACAGTAAGACAATATCAATATCTTCTTTGTATTTTTCATACAAAAAATATATTTGCTACACACTTTAAAAATGTCCCAATCATATTCCACTCTGGCGCTATCGGAGAAATTGTCTTGGTTTATACATGGAATTCAGACTAATAGGTCTCTGTAGCAACTTTTGCAAAGTCCTGGCCCATATGAGTGAGCAAAGAAAAAACGACACTTGAACTTGAACAACGGGCAGACCCAGATGACTAGATGCCTTTTGATTCATTTGCATGCTACTATTACCATCAACTGTTATGACACTCCTAATATCTTCTCACTTAGATGTCACACAGAACTATTTTAAATCAATATTCTGATATTCCCCACTGTAAATCGAGACACATTCAGCTTAAAAATCAATGCAAGCCATCATTGGAGAGTGCAAATTAATGCAGATTAAAAAGAGCACATGCAAGCATGCTGACAACCATAAATACACACACGGCAAGCACATCACAGGGCACCTGGCAGACATTTCCACATAGCGGACAGCTGATGCTGTTCCACAAGAGCAACGTACCATCCAAATCCACCGAAGGATACGCTCCTCTTCCTCCTCAGCATGGTCCCTCTTTATTCACCTCTAACTCCAATTTGTCTTCCTCTCCCTCCTCACTGTCTCTCTTGTATCGTCCCTCTGTGCTCGCGTTTCAGTATCTCACAATCACTCTTTCTGCTTCCTCACTCTCTCGTGTACATCTATGAATGATTTCATTCTCCACCCTCTTTCTCACCCTTTGTGCATGTGTATGACAGTTTGGGGTTCTCGCACCTGCTATGTCACTCTCTCACTTCAGCGCACAACTCCACACATGTTAAGAGTAGAAGAGAGGGTGGAGGAGGAAGAGAGGAGGGGCTGAACACACTATTTAAAAAAAAAATCTCATTCTCTCTAGTACCGAGACCCTCTGGGCCTTCTGTGTGCTGGAATATAAAATATGAGATATTGCTGCCTGATAAGGCCTTATAAGTGAAAGTGATTTTAAAAATAATATTCAATTCGATTCAAGTTTATTTGTATAGCATCAGTGTTGGCATCATCTGAGGTCCTCTGAGGGGTTGGCATCATCTAAAATCATATGGCATAATTTAAAAAGAATTCAGTAGAACCATACCACAATTTCTTGCCTTTTAATATGTTAGCTTCAGCATTTTCATGCCTGCAACCCAGCAAACTTAACTATTATTTTTACCTAAATTAATATTAGGATAATGGAACTCATAAAGAAGGATGCATTAGGATTTATGGATAACATAAGATAAACCCTGCATGAATTTCGAGAAATCTGTTTTGCATCTGTTCTCACAATACAACATTACCATAAAAAGACTGGCAGTGATGTGTGGTTCTAAACCGTGCCCATTGTGAAAGCAGTAATTGTGCCTAGACTCACCAACAAGAACCACATTACTAATAAAAATTATATTAGCGCCCCCTTCTGGCAAGATTAATTTAGACCATCGATTCTTCCAGTTCACTGAAACGCCCAGCCACCGAAAAGTTGAGACTTTCAAAGGTCATCAGAAAACGACAGGCTTCTACTTAATTTAGGTAAACATAAATCTATCCCTTATGAGCCCCCCCCCCACACCCAAAAAAAACAAAACAAATTACATTTTGAAAATAATTTAATTATAAGACATTTCGAGAATATATGCATTTTATTCTATTGCCGTTCATTACTTGTGTCTTTAAAATGGATCACAAAAATACTTCGTAAATGTGTAGGTCCGATGGAAACAAGAAAATAAACGTAATGCCGCTACGAGCAGGGTTCGAACCTGCGCAGGGAGACCCCATTGGATTTCAAGTCCAACGCCTTAACCACTCGGCCAAGAACAGGGCAAAAGGGACTGCTACAAGGGGGAAAGAAAGGGAAAAGAGAAGGGGAAAGGAGGGAAAGAATTCTGACCTCGTTCGGAAGTATTCAAATGTTGTTAGGAAGTGTTAGGAAGTGTTCAGCCGGCCGATCGCTGGAAGGTACGGCCATCGCAGCTCGCCCCTACGCCTCAACCGTATGGTATAGAACCTTTATGGTATCGTAATTTGATCGTACTTTACAGATTTCTCGCTCCTTCTTTTAATGTTCATTCTGTTAACCATTATTACATTTAAAATTAATGCAAGAAGGAAAACTTTCCCCTCAAAATTCTGCAGACTGTTCCCTGCTTTTGGTAGTAAGGTTCATTTAATGTACATCGGAGTTACCAACTTTGGTTACCTGGCTGGTGTGATATTTTGATGACATGCACTGAAATCCCTATTTGAGGTTTTAATGATCCAAGGTCTTTATATAAAAACGGTTTCCCTGAAAATTTGAGTTAAAATAGTTTGCAAAAACGCGTATATAAAAGCAACGAGGTTGTGAAAGGGTTGAACCGGAAGTGAAATGCTAACTCGTTTCCGGGTTTTTGCCTACAAAAATATGAGGTTCCATTTGTTACAAAAATTAGTCAACTGCTTTAAGTTTTGTACTATACATTTGTCTTTGTCTACAGTCATTGCCTACTTGTTCAGGTAAAGCAGTATTGATGTGTATGTTGTCTGTTAACATCGTCTTAATCTGTCGTCCTGCCTTCTTTTTCTGTTGTTTTTGCTGTCGTCCTTATTGTCGTCTTGTTCTGTCGTCCTTATTGTCGTCTTGTTCTGTCGTCCTTACTGTCATCTTATTCTGTTGTCCTAATGTCATCCTTACTGTTGTCTTTGGTCTTGCTCTGTCGTCTTTACTGTCATCTTGTTCTGTCGACCTTAATATCGTTCTTACTGTCATCATAACTCTCATCAGCACGGTAAAGTTAGTTTTAGGTTTGATATCTGCTGCATATTTGACTAGGCTGCTTTAGGGACCGTCTGCAAATTTACCCTACATTACAAAACGAAGTTCAATAATTAATTCAAATGAATGTTTACAGGACTATAGTAAATGCATAGATGGCAAACTGAATAAAATTTTTTTGCTAATATCTCGCCTTAGGGCCCCCGAGACTTGCACTTGGACCATAGTGCGGCCCGGTGGAAAAAAAGGTTGAGAACCACTGCCTTAGACAATACTTCCAATATCTCCCTTACTGTCTGTACAGTACACAAATATTTTTATGAAAAAAATTCGCTAAAAGGATGTTTTTTTTTTCATGTTCCAAAGGTTGTAGTACATTCCTAGACTGGCTTACTACAGGTGAGATTTTGCCAATATCTCCCTTACTGTATATACAGCACACAGATATTTTATGAAAAATTACAGTAAAATAATAAAACAGTAGTTTTTTTTCATGTTCCAAGCATTGTAGTATGTTCCTAGTTACAAGACTGACTTACTACAGGTGAGTTTGCCAATATTTCTACTGCATGTACAGTACACAAATAGTTAGTAAAAATCCTACAGTTATTCACCGAAAGGGTTTAATCATGTTCCAAAGGTTGTACTACAGTCCTAGTTACAATAGACTTACTACAGGTAAGATTTTGCCGTACTACAACTAGACTTGTGCCGGCATTCGGTAATGCGATATATCACGGTAATGTACACGCACAATATTGTTATCGTGGGCACTTCTAAATTCCGTGAATAATTATATATTACAAATTATTTAGAATTTTGAATGCATTTTAAGAATACTTTTCCCATCAACTGGTCAAAATGCACAACACCGCTGTATGCTGTGTGAAAGACGCGTGCGCACTCTGATGTAAATAAGTGCGGACGAGAAGCACATGGCGGAACATGTGAGAGACGCTCTGGATGAAAGCGCACTTTCACTCTCTGACAGCAGATGGCGCTAAACTGCAGAAATAATAATAATAATAATAATAATAATAATAATAATTCAT